TACTTTACCCATATCCACTATGACAGCAAGATCTATTTGCAAACCATAATGGAAGAATGTTGGTTCTATGCAGAAATTAAAAGGAAACTACCAATAAATGGAGGAGGGGTGATTTTTTAAAATGTTGACACTTTGAATATTTCAGAGAAGACATTAAACCAAGTTATTAAGGAATTTTTGATAGCATAGAAGGCAAAGACTTTTAAATATTGCAGGTGATCACAACCAGGAAAAAAAGGGTAGCTCTTGAAGAAGTTTCAGAATTATTTCTTACCCCTATTAAAGTTTTGTTCATTAAAATGTACATAAGAAGAATAAAAGTAAAAATATAAATGGTTAATAGTCATACAGAAAAGTATTCAGAATAACTAGTGGTTTAAAATGCAAATAAAATAATATTTTTTACTTATAAAATCATCAAAGAGTTAAGAATATAATAATCACTGCTGGTAACTTTCTTGGAAATAATGTGATCATTATAGCAAATTCTATAAAAGTTCACTACTTTTGACTTAGCAGTTACTCTTCTAGGAATATAACAAATAGAAATTTATGTATTACAGTAATATCTATCACACAATACTTAAAATAGAGATAAGTTGGAAACTATTGTTCAAATGGTTAAATGCATTAATGAATAACCATTAGATGAAATATGATGTTATTAAATTATTTAAAAATATTTCTTTAAAAATGTTTAACGATGTGGGGATATAGCTCATAATAAGATAATATGTAAGGATTCAAAATCATACATAGGTTATAGCTCAGCATTGTTAAAATGAATGAAGTAATAGAAAGAATTATATAAAATAGTAAGAGTTTCTCTCTGCATGGTGACATTTTCAGCTATTGGATGTCTGTATGTTTTAAATTATTTTCAATAAGCATATATTACTTTTATAATTAAAATATTATCAATTGTTTTTCTCATCTAGTAGACTGCATCTTCCATTTCTCAGTCTCTCCATGAAGAGACACTTCAGTTCCATACAGATTCATGTTAGTGGCCCTAAAACTGAGATGATTACTGACAGCACCAACTCTCATGAATAGAAGTTCCACTGATAAACCACTCAGTATGGAAAAGATATTAGGTCTCCAATCTCCTGACACAAAGACAAACAATGAGGACCAACAACACTGTAGATACATACATATCATGGCATAGACTTAAGGTGCTCATAAAGACAAAAGCCTGTCTCATTGGTTAGAGTAGTTTCCTATCAGGCTGACTGATTTCAGACAGACAGATTCCCTCTCCCATTTATCTGTGAGTCTTAGGAGACAGTAAGCTTAGGAGGACATAAATGACCTGAATTTAGTGCATATCACAGACATAAAATCTTAGAATTGAAATTGAAAGAGATCTTTCAGGCCATTTTATTCCATTATCATGCAATTTGAGAATCTCTGATAAATGAGAACGTCAGCCTATGCTAGTAGAACTTAATTGTGCCCCCCTTCCAAATGTATATGTTAAAAATCTAACCCCCACGTGATTATATTTGGAGACAGGGTATTTAAAGAGGTAATTAAGGTTAAATGAGGTCATAAGGGTGGAGACCTAATCCAATAGGACTGGCATCCTGATAGAAAGAGGAAGAAACAACAAGAATAAGCTAACACAGAGAAAAGACCATGTAAGCACACAACCAGAAGCCTATCACCTGCAAGTCAAGGAGAGAGACTTGAGGAGAAATCAAACTACCAACACCTCCATCTTGAAATTGTAGCCTCTAGACAGTTAGAGATAAATTTCTATTGTTTGAGCCACCCAATCTGTGATATTTTGTCATGGCAGTCTTAGCAGACTAAAACAGGTGTTGGGTGGGTTGGAATCAATTTCCTGTCTCCTTTTCAGAGCTATGTTGAAAAAAATTAAAATGTGTTCAACAAGTGGACTGTATAGAGGTTAAAAGCATGGAATATGGGGCCAGATACTGAATGGAATTTCTTGACCTTTCTAGGCCTCAGTTTTGCTAGCTATAAAGTTAAAAAAAAATCATGTACATTTTTAAACCCCACTTTAGCTTCTCCAGTTTAATTCCACTCCTCACTGACCAACATTGCAGTTCTAACATGTTTCATATCTTAAGCTACTTGGGGATGAGAGCCAACTAGAAATATAGTTGTGAAAAGTCAAGAAGGTTACAGAAAAAACAATGCTATTGGTGATAACAGAGATGTAGTCTTTAAAATATTGCATTGAGATTGAAAACCATTGAAGAAACTATTTCTACTTTAGCTAGAAAAGATGGTTGGGAGCACTTTACAAATATTCTACTGTCTTTATATTATATTTGATGCAACTGCTGTGCCAATCCACTGTGGTACCATCTACCACACTCTTTCATTGCAGAGCTTATAGTCTCATGGTTTTGTTGATGAGTCGGTCAAACAAAATATACAGTTCAGTATCATGTTGTAGGTGGTAGTAGAAACCATCAGTGTGAATTTGTGCCCTCTCTCCTTCCACACTGCCTCTTTTCTGGCTTTGCACAGTGCCACTTGATATGGCATTCTGCACATTTTGAAAATATTCAAGGCCCACAGTTTGAGACCTGCCATCAGTTGCACCACTTGAAATGATTTGGCTTTCATTTCTGCACATGGAAGGAGTCTGTATCTCTTCTTCTGGTTGTCATCTTTTGTATTTTCTTTCTTCTCTATTGCTTTCTTTTATTCCTACCTCCTCCTATCCTCCATCAGTTCTCCTTTGCTATCTTCTTTATCATCAGTAGTCACCTGACTTCATTTGTTCACTCCTTCAATACTGTTTATTGCATACTCACTCTGTGACGGGTCCAGGAGATGCAGTCATAAACAAGACACATATTGTCATGCTTTCATGATGCATGTGGTTAAACAGGCAGTCCTATTCAAGACAACACAAACATAAATGGGGGGGGCATAATATAAAGGTACTCAGTGAGCATTCAGGGGGATCCCTAACACATACGTGGGGAGTCAGAGAAGTCTTCTCAAAAGAATGTCTGTTATAGGCCCAAAAGGTATGATGTCCCGTTATGTGCAATTTTGTATCTTGGTTCTACAGAAATGCTTTGTGGAGTAATTATTAACATGTGTGAAGTTCATGTTTTAATTTTTTCTAAAATTATTTCTGTGGTCTGTATTTTTTAGTTAAAGTAATGCTGTCAGATATTGTTAGAGTGAGATTAATTTCTTTTTTAGTTTAGTATATGAATTCTGTGTTCTACAGGAAATATAACTCCTTTTTACTAAGTGCTAGTGAATATGTTATGTTTTATAGATATATAGTTCTAATTCTTTTCAAAATGTTAAAAAATTTAATTATCCCCATTTTACATATTCAGAAACTAAGATTTAAAGAAGTTAAGTAACTTGTTAAGACCACACTCTCTTCAACATAGCCAGAATGCTTGGGTTGGTATCAAGGTCTACCACTCATTAGCTGTGTGACCTTGAGTAAGTTACTTAAACTTCCTATACACCAGTTTCCTCGCTTATGAAATATGGGCAATAATAATAACTACCTTGTAGAATAAATATTAGAGAGTTCTATCCAATTATAATGAGTAAAATATAAAAATAATATTTCTTATCCTTTTAAGGTTCTCAGACTAGAGGAGAGACGTGTATGTGCATGTGTGTGTGTGTGTGTGTGTAAACCTGAGGATGTAACTGGATAAATGCCATCCATAAAGCCTCATTCCAGAATCTGTATGTGTCCCCATGAAGCCATGAGCACCAAGAGAGGAGGGACAGTGTCTGGCTGATTCCTTGCTATAACCTTAGTACCTGGTATTAACGTGAATGACTGAATAAATAAATAATTAATCCTACCCCGACTCTAACTTGTTATGACCTTTCATGAAGAACTTAATACCTCTAGCCCTCAGTATTTCCATCAATCAATATTTGATTAATAATGTCTCACATGAGAGTCAAATATGGCATATAAAATATATAACCACAAGTATGATACAAATATAAACACAGTACAGACACCAGACAACATATGTAATGTAGGCCTCTTTGTGTTTAGAAAGTTTTTCAATAACTTACTCCATTTTACTTGAGTCTTATTACACACTTTATAATATCATCCAGGAACATATATTATGTTTCTTCTCAAATGGTCTAAAAATCAGACAACACTGAGTCATGCTTCTGAGTCTTACAATTATTCCTCATTCATGAGAATTTTAAAGTAGTTAACCCATGTGACAGTGGCATTTGTTTGAAATAGTGTCACTGATTCAGCTGGGCTCTGTAAGTCTGACTGGGACCACACAGGTCCAGGTTTCAATCCTGTGGTCTGTTGGAAGCAGAGCAGTCATGTGCTGAGCTCTTTGTACTGGTGCCTTTCCAAGGCCCCTCTGCACCTGAACAAAGGTATATTGGTGAAAACATTTAGGAAAAGGGTGGTAGGACCTACAGAAGAGAGCACACAGTAGGACACCACTGGAAGGAGCTGGCAACACGAGTCATTTTCCAATTTTTTCAGTTTTGAGTTCATAAGTCTAATATGACCACAAAGATAATGAAACTGAACTGGTTAACAGGAGACAAAAATCAAATAACCCAATTTCAAAAAGCACATTTTCAGATAACTGTAAGCTAAATTTACCACTGGCATCCTATATTAATTAGATTGGTTCCAGGACTCTTCAATGATGCCAAAAATTGTGAATACTCAAGCCCCTCAGATACAATGGTGCAGTATTTGTATATAACTTATGCTCATCCTTCCATGTATTTTAAATTGTCTCTAGATTACTCATAATGCTTACAACAATGTATATGCTATGTAAACATTTGTTAAATTGCACTGTTCTTTAAATGTGTATTATTGTTGTATTTTTTTCAAATATATTCTATCTACAGTTGGTTGAATCCACAGATGTGTAAGAACAAATATATAGAGATAGATAGATAGACAGATATAGATATATACACATGTATGTATTCTAATATAGACTATAACTACTAATAGATAACTATAGAAGTCTTACCTGTGACTGTGTAGTTTTCTCCACTGCCTGAATAGATTAGCCTTCCATCCATGTATAAAGAGTACTGAGTTATAATACCATTTACTTTTTTGGGTGGATTCCAAGAGAGTAGCAAAGAATTGGGAAAGGATTTGGCTACTGGTGGCTGAACCTCTTGTGGGGCTGTGGGAAAAAAGATTTATAGAGGCAAATTTTAGTTTACTTTTCTAATTCAAACTTTTCAGACTCAAACCAATAAATCATGGAATAAATCTGAAATCCCATGCATGGAAATGTTCCTGATTCGTGGGAAGCTTGTCAGTAATTGCTTGAGGAATAGTGCTGAATTACTGTCCTGAATTTATGAGAATTTGTATCAATGATGGATGGGGAGTACTTACGCTAGTTCACTTGACTAATGTTTGTGTTACTTCATCAAAAGTACTATTAACCCATATCTCTATGTGGGGCTACACTTACTAAAGCAAGTTAAAGCAGATAGCATCCCCTCTCCTTGAGGAGTTTACAATCTCAGATGGGCAACACTGGTGACTGGTTCATAAAAGAAAGATTTAAAAACCTACACGTAACTATAGAAATAGCCAGAAAAAGCAGAATCAACTTAATTAATTATATATGATGAACACATTGTGTGTATTCCTTTAAAAAAAAAAAAGATCTGATCATTTTATATAATGGTCAATGAATTAGGGTCAAGAAGAACCAAGAGTTTTTAAAAATTGACCCTAAACATATCTACTATTTGGTAATGAGGAATAACTTTGTGGGAAAGTTAGAAGTTTGGGAATTACTTTAATAACAAAAAGGCATGGTGGGTCCAAGCAAAACCTGGAGGATGCAGGAAATGAAGAGAATATAATGAGAAAACACAGGACCATTTGTCCCATATTGAGACTGGTGAAAGTACTTGCAATAGGAATGACAACCATGTACTCCAGTAGATGTAATGACACATTTAGAAAAACAATGCTATTATCGATAGACCAGGCAGGAAAAAAAATATTGAGAAAATGCTTAAGTTGGGTTACTGATAGCATATTCAAGGTAAGGGGAGTCTGGTTAGTTCAGTTCAAAGTACAGAGAACAAAGGGTCACAATAAGGATTCTATAAGATCCTTTATTCTGTCATGGCTTTTCTGTCATGGCTTTTTTATATGGGCCTATGTCTTTTTTTCCCCCTCTTATGTATCTTCTGTGCAAGCAGCACTTGGTAAAGGATTTAAAAGAGGAAGAGGAGGAAGTAGGGGTTGATGGATAAATACTGGGAAAGAGAGAAAGAGAAAGACTAGCTGACTCTTTTTCCTAAATATCAAGTTTTTAAATCTCCTAAAGAACTTTACAACTAGACAGCATAAGAAATGTGCAATTTCTGTCATCCAGAAGAGAGAAATATGAAGTAAAAATGCTTCAAATGTTTTGAGAGCTGTTATTTCTTGAAGTGATGCGTTCTGATGCTTGAGGAAAGCTTTCACTTTGGAGTGCTAAAATATTTTCTCTTTCTCACTGCCTTCTTAACGTATGCTTTCTGAAACATTAATTTATGCCAACAGTTTGTAAGTTCCAAGTACAACAAAAGTGAGACTTAAGTCGGAAGGAACTAAGCAGTGATTAATAATGCCTCAATTGGCATTTGGAGGTTCCATCATACAGAAATAATTGTTGCCTGTGCTGGTGTTTAGCAGTTTAAAAAGACCATGGAAATCAACCGTTTGATTCTCAATTTCATACTGTGCCATACAATCAATTCTTTTTAGTCAGACTGTCTCTAGATTTACTTCTGAGCCATAGTAAAATGAGGAAGCTTTCATTAATCTTTCAGATGCTTCATATTAATGACAAGGCTCTTGCATGAACAATGTAACAGCAATTAAAAAGCCCATTAATCTGCATTACAGCTATTAAAGATGCATGTCATTAAAGGGTATGGAGTTTGATTCATTTTCGCACCCCCCCAAAAAATGGAGCAATTATGGCCTGGCAATGCACTTTGTCATCAAATTAGGTTGGGGTTTTCCAGCAAATGGCCTTGCAGCATTTAGCTCTTCTCCTATTTTATTATTCATGACTGAAATGTGGAAGTCAAGACCTTTGAAATTACTTTACCTTCTTGTGGAGTAAAGATGTTCAATGCATGTGAGCTCTCAGTACAGCCAGCCAAAGTGCAAGCAGTTAGGGTTACTGCATAGTTTTTGAAGGGTAGCAAGCCTGTCAATATGCCTATAATAAAAAGGGACAAAAGAAGTTTGCATGTTTACCATAAGCATCTATAAAGAGCATCGTGTGTGTGTGTGTGTGTGTGTGTGTGTGTGTGTACATGTGTGTAAGAGGCAGAGGCAAAGAGAGAGGCAGACAGAAAGACAGAGAGACAGAGAGACACAGAGATAGAAATCAAAAACATATGCCTCTTTAATTCATTTTCCTGCCTGTCTGCTGATTGTAGATTAGAGTGGCTCAAGGGAAAAAAATTGTGAGATCAACAAATTGCTAAAACAGCTCTAAAACAGTATCTGGTTTCCCCCATTAGAAATGGGGGAGAGCCACACAAAGTTTGTGAAGCAAAGCCCAGTTTATCCAATGGTTAAGATGCATATTATCTTATTCCAGGATCCTAGACCTCCTGCAGAAACAAAGCTATTTAATTTTCTTTTACCTAGCATTTTTCAACCGTATTTAACTAAGGAGTCCTTTTTTATGCAGTATCTATTAACACACTTTAGAAAATGCTACTCCCAAGAGTGGCTTCATTATTTTAACGGCAGGACACATATATACTATTTGTTTATGTTACAGCTAACAAGTATGCAAATTAACATAGTTGAACAATTAGCAAATTAGATAATTATGCATTTGTACTTCTACTTGCAAAATTATTAGTTTATTTAATTAAGACACCTGTCTTAAAGGGAAGTGTTGCACATGGAAGTGTTGAATTAACCTGGCTTGGTGGTGGATATATGAGATTTGTTCAGCAATTAGAAGTACCTGCAGAAATGAAAACACATTTTGTTTACTGGTGTTCATAATCAAGGCAGAAACTCTTTATTTAGTTAATCCTGTGAATTAAAGTATACAAATATAATTTGTGCAATTGCTCACCACTATTTTTCCTTGAAGAAGTTTTTCAGAGCAGGCTTTTATTCTAAAGAATACCATCATTCTTATAAAAATTTGGTTCCACTTGTGGTATCCCTTTATTGATTAAACCTTCAATAGCTTAGAGAATGTATTATTGCTTTAAGGTGCCAATATTGGCGACAGCTTGCATCAGTCAAACACAAATTTTAATATATATGTTTCCATGTTCTCCCTTCCCAATAGAAAATTTTAAAAATTAAAAGGGCAAATAGCCAGGATGAAGCAAGGACCATGGGCCATTGTTTGTTCTGATACCTCCTGCTTGCCCTCAGTGCCTAGTGCTGCCTCCAAGTCTTCATGCAAGCAGCTCCCCAGGCATCTCCCTGGGCTATGGAATCCCGTCTGCCATGCCTCTACATGCAAATATCCATCCACTTGGCATCAACATCTTAGCTCATGGCCAGAGAAGACAGCAAGCCAATGAGCTAATACGCATACACATGTGACCATCTCGTGCCAAACTCAGCTCTCTCTAATTTCAAAACCCCCTTGTGTCACAACCTTCTGCTTTCTCTCATCTCTGCCACTGTGATTGTCATTTCCTCTAAAATCTTCCAGACCATGACCCATATTCTGAGTTCACTTTCTTTTAAGAAGTTATTTTCCCTTCTACCAAATGTCTTAAAAGCAAGCTAGCATTATCACATACACTTCCTCATCACATAGAAGTGCAGTGGTAAATAGCATGGATGTTTGGGCCAGATTGCCTGGGTTTAAATGCCAATTCTGCTGCCAATTGGCTGTCTGGTTTTGGGCAAGTTGTTCAGGCCTCTGTGCCTTAGTTTCTTCACCTGTAAGCAAATAATATAGTGCCTATCTTGAAGGGGAGGCCTCACAGGCTTTACCTGTGAGATGTGTATAATATAGTACTTACCTCAAAGGGTTTGTATTAAGATTAAACAATTTTAAAAATATAAGATACTTAATGTGGAATATCATAAGCACTGCAAGTAGAGAGCTCTTGTGCAGAGCTATGTCAGTCCATATTACATTACTATTGCAACCCTGTACCTGGCTCCTTGTGCTACTCAATGATTTTTATCTTTTAAGGATCACCAGTGATTCCTTAAATACCAAATCAAGTAACTTTCCTTTGTCCTTATCTTCCTACACTAACTGGGATTTGGCATTCTTCAGCTTTCTTCTGTGACACTGAATTTTTTTAGTTGTTCCCCTAGACTACTAGAGAGTTTCTTTCTTTCCTTGACTGACTCAAGTCCCTCTCACTGTTCCTTAAATAGCTTTTGTTTCACAAGTTTGAGTCCTCAGGTTTCTTTCTTTTTCTAAGCACTTGCCTGTGCTAGCTTGTCAAGCCTCATCTCTCAATGATCACATTTGTATCCACAGATTTTACAACTATCCCAATGGTAGGTAGGAATGTGTCTGCAAGACATTTCTCCCACCTGGCTATCCTACCGGAACTTCATACACAGCATGCCTCAGACCTGACATCCTAAATAATTTCATAAGTTTTATTTTACCTTTTCTTAATCCCTCTGCTATGATCCCCAAATTCCAGGCTCAAAACTAAGGTATCATCATAAAATATGTGTTAGCCATTATATCCTTAGAAAATCTTTGGCATTTGCCATGTATTGCCAAGTTGGAATCTACTGCAGGATTCCAAATAAGATTACTTGCATGTTGGAATTAGTATAATGCCACATTAAGAAATTAATCAGTCCCCAGAGAATAAAACTTTTAATACTAATGTGGGCAAGAAAAACATGCTGGGATTTGAGGTTAGTTTCCTTTTGTCACCACTTAATCAATATGGCATATGTGAAAAGTAATGCCTCTCAGAGGTGAACATGATTTAACTGAGGCATATAAATGCTATGTCTAAAAAGAGATAATGCTTGTATACAGGTTGGTGATCTGAAAACCTTAGCCTGAAGATGTGTCATACATCCAGGTAATATCATCATTGAGAAACATAATAGTTCTATTATTTTGCAATTTTGCTACCTGATTCTATAAAATACCTTATCCTGAGACATTATTTTCTCCCAAATAATAACTAAAGTACAATGTTGGAATTGTAACTGTTGTATCAACTAATCAGGAAAGGTATTAATGTAGACTTTCACAAGGATCTTGTCAAATCAGATACTGAGTTCATATCCACTAAATGATCATGAGTGTTTTCTTTAACCTTCCTTGCTATCACTTAAGGAGCTACTTTGTGTGTATGTGTGTATGATAAGATTTCTTTGCTAATTCCCCAAAACTTTACTTTAAAGACCTTAGAAAATAAGCAATACTCTTTTCAGCAAATGTGCTTTCTTCAGCTTTGTGCTTTGGTAGAAAAGTTTACCAAATTGAATTGTATTTCATAGAAGAATCCTGAGATTTTTAAAGAAAGATGCTGGAGAGAAAGTAGATCATCTTTCAGGCCATTTATCAAAATGCTTACATTTCCCATTTCAAGCCAGGTGAAACAATAAACACTGAGAAATGAGAGCTGCAAAATAGAAAACAGAAAAAATAAAAAAGAAAGAGAAAGCTGATGTTTTGGCTCTTGCCAACTTTGGATCCCAGGTTGAAGGTTTTAGATAGTTTGTAAATCACACTTTCAAAAAATGTGCTGTATTTTCTAAGCTGGAGTGCTGTTTCTTTCCTATTTCTAGTGGGAAACTTGCTCAAAATGTGTGTCTCAGAGACAGTTTGTTAAGTCATCTGAATAATTTTCCCTAAATGTAAGGTACTATTATCTATTTCAGTAAGAAGAACAGTATAACGATTCAATGCTTTCTCTCCTTTTGTCAGGTTTCAATTAAGCATTATGTAGCAGAAGATGCTGGTCAACCAAGTGGATTTCACATCTCAAAATAATGACAAAGCCATCTCATTTTCTGGGACATGTGGTTTATCTCTCTTGATTCTCAGTATGGAGAGTTTACCAGGGTGGGTTAAAGTTGAAGCTTATAAAAGTTGTGCTATTACCAAAGGAAGAGAATAAGTATAGTCTCTCAAAGACTGAGTAAGGTAGCTCTTCTTGGAGACATCCTTTGAAATCATTGAATGATTATCCTAATGGCCTTGCTTCAAGTGTCAGAGTCCTACTTCAATTATGTACTCTCAAGAAAAAAGTAGTATTACTAGGACAATATATTATTATCAAAAAGTATTTATCAATTTTTCTTCTATATGTCTCTGGATAAGGTGCTAGAGAATACAACTGATTTTTTACAAAGCTTCGAATATAAAAACATTAACACTAGAAGAACCCCGATAATAATAGTAAGAAATAGTAAGATTAGTAAGAAATAGTAAGATTAATACATAAAGCAGAATGTGTGCATATATGCCAAATGAACAAAGGCATTTATAAGATCTAGACTTGCTAGTCCAAGATGTCAGGAGACCTATATTTAGTTAAAGACAAATTTTACAAATGGATAAGCATTGGAAATATATTTTAGTATTAAATTTAAAAGAATACTGATAAATATACAGTATGACATATTTATAAAAGAATCCTAGACAGAAGAACATATCCACAGAAAACCCAGGAAGAGAAAATGGAGTAGTCTCCTTTTATAGCACTTAGAAAGTTTATAATAAAAAGCATATTCTGATAGAGAGAACTTTAAGATTGACTTGAATGTGAGTCTCCTTTTGTTTTGTTTTGTTTTGTTTTTGTCATTGTTGTTCTTTTAATTTGAGAGTGTCCCTATCACACGATAGGCTGATGACCTCTCAAACTCCCTTTCAGCCACAAAACTCTGTGAGATTAGAAAATGGCCCCAACCATGTCAGGAAACTTGTCAGTTTTTCCTGATAATGGAAGAGGGCAAGCCGAAAAAACATTCAATAAGCATAAAGTAAGCATTATTGATGTCTTAAAAGTGTTAGTATCCCATGAAACACAGGAGCATGGGTATCTGGATTAAAATCATTGGCACCAGCAGGACCATAACTCTCACTGCTAAGCGATAATGCATTTTGCATTAATGCTTAACATTGAGAAATCCTGACATGTCACACCAAGGGAGTTTGAAGTCAAGTAAGTAGATTCCCTTTGAATTGCAGTCCTATGGGCCACAGTGGGTGCAGAAAGCCCAAGCTAAAAGAACAGG